ACTAAAAGTGCCATGGACTGCCAAAAGAACCAATAGATCTGTTTTGGAAGAAGTGCAGCCAGAGTGCTCCTTGGAGGCCAGGATGGCTAAGCTTCGCCTCTCATACTTTGGACATATTGTCAGGAGGGAACAGTTGCTAGAGAAGGATGTCATGCTGGGTAAGATGGAGGGTCAGAGAAAAAGAGGAAGACCACCAACGAGATGGATCAGCCAGGTGACATCATTGATGGCGTCAAGTGTGGCAGCAGTAGTGAGGTTGGCCCACATCAGACATTATTTCGTTCTACTGTGCATGGGGTCGCTATGAGTCGGTTCTGACTTGATGGCACCTGACAACAACATTCTCAGAAGCATTTGGTTAAATCAGAAAAATTCCTTTTATAGAAATATAGCCACTTAGGTATAAAAATATACATACTTATTATGTAGAAGACTGGTACAGGCAATGTTATTAGGTGTGTGTTGAAGTGAGTGTGGGGTTTGGGGCTACTGTCAGTATAGCTCATAGGCTGTGATGATCTTCACATAGGTAAAGCCAACCTTTGATAGACATATGCAGATTTAGTTTATGATGATATCTGTGTGGATTGTCTTTGATAACATTGGTTTTGATGACATTTTTATTCTCAGGCGACCCAGTATATTTCTGGATAGCTTGTTATTTTTCTCCACACTGCCGGGAAATAATAAAAAATAGTATTAACTTTTTATTATCTCAATATAAAAACTAAGAAGAAAGTAACTATATCATCAAAAACAAAATAACCTCAAGATATTAAGTTTCTTATATTACTCATTAGTTGAGGGAATTCCTTATGATTGTTGCTATTTATGTTCTCCTTTTGTAGTAGGAATTTGGTCTCCTAGACATAGCAGGATTTTATTAGTACATTGATTAGGAAATGGACTATTTCCTTTTCTAGGAAAAAGGCATTGAAGTGATGTTTTCTCCTCATCCATGTCCTACCTGGAGCCTTGATTGGAATACTCTTCCTGCAGCAGTGAGTCCAAAGGAAGGTAAGTTTTAGGTTGTTTTTTTGTTTTTTGTTTTTTTCCTTTAACCAGGGTCTGGTTATTCTCTTTAGAATGATTTCAGTTCTCTCATTGATGATAGCAAGTATTTTGGGTATTATATTTACTGAATTTTCTTTTTATTCTTATGAAAAATTAGTTAAATACATATAACTCAGATTTAATGTTTTCCATATTTTGCTATATTTCCTTCATCTACTCCTTTGCCAAGGTATTTTATAGCAAACCCCAGATAATATGTCACCCTGTAACAAATATCTAAGGAGTCCTGATGTGGTGCTGTAGGATAAACAGTGGATCATAAGGTCAGTTTGAACCTCAAGATCAGTGGTTCAAACTCACCAACTGCTGCTCAGAAACCCTATATAGGGTCACCATGAGTCAGAACTGACTTGACAGCACTTAATAGCAACAATTTCTAAAAATTATTGAATCCTCTTACATAATCATAATGCCATTATCACACCTAATAAAAAACTGTAAGTTTCTTGATTATATCCATTTCATAACAAATTTCTTTTAAAGTTAAGTTTTTTTGTTTAGTTTTTTGTGGATTGAGTGAAAGTTAACAAGACATCATCAGTTTTACAGTTTCATATTCAACAAATCATACAACTTGTTTCATTATTATAATTATAATCCCATCCATGTATCATCAGTTAACAGTATTTCTCTCTATTCATTTTAGCTCTTTTTTTTTTAAACACTCAGGCATATATAATAATTTACACCACCAAAGGGCATATTCTGCAAGCCTCCCTCCTGGCCGCCATTTCTTAGTCCCTCTCTTACATGAATCTAGAGTCCTCACCTACTCC